AGGCTTGGGGACATTAGGTAACACGACTAAGATGTGTCTGGCCCAGAATTAAGACTGAAATTGAATTTTGACCCATATTTTTTCGGATAAATTTCTACCCAACATACTGCAGTAATCTAAAGATCCTAAAACATTTTGCTAGTTTTGTACTTGTACAAATAACTTAAATTTTGTACAATGGGTAACTTTAAAATGGTCACCTGGTTCCATACAGTTAATTAGTGCTGCATATAGTTACTAGTGTCTTTTAAGTCTTCCTGAGATAGTCTGTGCATTTATAGACACATTCATAAACATGAACATACACTATTTTTATGTGCTGTCATGCAGTTGGCTTTTTCCCCCTAGTCATGCAGCTTAGAGAAATACCCCATCCTTATATATTTAGAAACCCCTCTCTCTCTTAAAAAGAAAAAAAAAAAAAAGGTAATCGCAGTGTTGCTGCACAGAAGCTCCATGGTGTATTTCACTGATGCTATTCTTGTTGACCCTCCACTTAAAGACAGTTAGCCTGAAATTTCAAATCTAATTGTGATTTCTGCTCTGGAACTTTCCTTGTACTAACTCTGTCATCCTTAAAATCCCCCTGGAAAAGGAGTAAGGAATACAGTTTAATTTTTATAGTTTTAAAAACTATTTTTGTTGTTTCTTAATGAGCAACAGTAACATTGCCAGTTGCTGTTGGTTTTGTCTGACTGGGGGACCCAGCAGAAATAGGGTTGGTCCCTATTTCTGAGAAGAGGAGGGTCAGCAACTGTGGAAATAGAATCCACTTTGGGCTCTGCCCCGTCATGCTCTGTGGTGTCCTTCCCATTTCTGAATCGCTGTTTCCTCACCTATTAAGTGAGGAGGCTGGACTAGACCAAAGTCTGACAAATTTTTCCTGTGAAGGGCCAGATTTGTTAACCACAACCACTTTGTAAACCATGTAGTCTTTGGCACAGCTACTCGGTTACATTGAAGCGTGACAGCAGCCATAGTGTCAGTGAATGGATGCTGTTGTATGCCAATAAAACTTTATTTGTAAGAACAGGCACTGGGTGTAATTTCACCTGAAGGTCAAAGTTACACGTTCCTTGGCTAGGGACATTTCTCTTAATTTCTGTAACTCTGTGAGGAGCTTTCCTCATCTACTTAGGGGAGAGAAGGGACACATACCCAATTAGTTTGCTAGATGCTCACTCGGGCTTCATAAAGATGCCTTGGATGCCTCACGGCACTTCAGTTGGATAGGTGCTGTGGGAAAACTGAATCTCAGGGAGGTTCTGAACTTTGTTCGCTACTAGTCTCTTTGAGGTTTGAACCTCTTTTAAGTCCCAACTCCTCTGTGTTAGATGAGAAAAGATTCTTAGTGATGCCAACTTAGTGATAATAACTTGTGGTTATTATCAGGTGGATACAGGAAGTCTCTTAGAGCAGATCTGGCAGGCTGCACAGCTAGGTAAATACCAGAAGCAAGAGCGCCTGTGGCACCCCAGGGAACAGAGGGTGCAATGGGGGCAGGAGTGAGGAGGGAGGTTGGTACAGGTTTTCAAAGAATCACACTGGCTCTTTGTGGAGTGTCAGGCTCACTGCTCTTACAGAATATCTGGTTTCACATGATATTCCTGTTCCTGCCTTCACTTACCCACAAAAAAGGACAGATGGAAAATGCTTTCCATGATCACAAAACTTGATTGTGGGTGTTGAGGTGACACCAGTTACCAGGTGAGGTTGGAATGCACTATATGTGACAGGTGCCTCTAGCCTGGGGACTAGTTCCTGCTTATTTGGAGAGCATGCATGTAAAGGGTTGCACCTGCTGGGTGCTGAAAGGGTAAGATCCCTTTGCGCCTTTGCCGTCTCTTGGCAGATTGCACATCACACCCTGACTTAACGTGTATTTGAATAAACTGTTCTTCCTCTACTTCCTTGGGGAAAGGGTTTCTGGGTTACATTTCACCAACAGGAGCATGCTCTGCACCTCTCTAATCTGCGCTTACTGGCCTCTGGCCTAGGAGTCTTGGATGGGTGATTCTGAGCATGAAATGGGATTTGCCTTGAGGCTTCTCCCTGGGAGGCTGGCAGTGAGACTCTGGTGGTAGAGAGACTGATGGGCTGTACCTGCTTGCTTTCATGATGCTGTTGGTGACTTTCTTGGGTCACTAGAGTGTTCCCTGGACACTGCCAGCAAGAGCTGGGATCAGGGAGCCAGAGGCCCCATTTCCAGCCTTCGGCTGGAGGATGGTCAGTATCTTAGCTATTTTATCACCAACAGCCTGTGATTATCTGACGGGCTTCTGTCTGCCCATTACCAGTTGTGGCCCTGAATTTGGGTACAGCCTTCTGGCCCTGATAGCTCCCTTCCCACCTCTGGGAGGCCTGTCTGAACCATTCCTAGCTCCAGGTTTGGCTAGAAGGACTTCCACAATTGCATGGCACCTTTGCTGAAATAGCCTAATTCTTTAACATCTTGTCATCAGACTTGGAGCTTCCCGAAACCACGATCAGGTTTTCTTGGTAGAGCCTGGTGCCTGGCACAGCGTGGGGCCATTCCACAGTGGCCGTGGCCCTCCTGTGTGCTCAGGCAGACTGCTCCTGCACCTGTGAGTGCTCTCAAAGTACTCATCCTGACCGTCTTTTTGGGGTAGAAAGTTGAAGTGAAGCTACGTCCCCATTTTCCACATTGGCAGAAGTGGCCGACCTGAGATTCAGTCTCGGGTTGTCTAAGAGCTTTCACCTTTCACTGCTGCATGAACCTCTGCTCGGTGCCTGGCTTCCCTCCTTAAGTCCCATTTTCTGTCTCCTTTGAGTTGGTTTTTCTACACTAGCCCCACCAGGTCCATTGTCAGCCCTCCTCAGCCCTGAAAGGACCGAGGGAGGGGCGAAACAGAGTGGCTCAGTTTTCCCTCCCCCTTCCTGCTGTTCTGGCTCAGACCCTTCCTCTACTCAGTCCTCAGCTCCTCAGGGCTTCCCCTTGAGTGTCTTTAAACCCTTCCCTCCATCTGCCCCTTCAGACAAGGAGCAGGGACTGGCTTTTCTCTGGTGCTGACTCTAAGATGCTTTTAGACCTTAGGGTTCCCATCTTTTCTGATGACCTTCGCAACTTTAAACTTTTTTAACCTTGCTTCCCTGACAGACCAGCTGTTTCCTTTCAGGATCCTAATTGCTCCTCATGCCCCAGGCTTTTCTTTATCTTCTGACACACCAAGAGTCACATCCTGATCAGACCATAGCTCCAAATGCCTGCACATGTGTCCTCTCTGGGGAGACAGATTTAGCTCTAACAGAATGTAGCCTGGTCTGCTCTTGCGTGCCTACAACACTCCGCACTTTTCCTCACAGGCTTTCCTGTCTATGGACAGCTGGTATCAGACTCCTGATGGCGTCAGTGGCTCCTCTGGGCCAGGCTATTATACTTGGTGATTGTCTAGATATGCAAAGGCTTTCTCTGGCTTCTGCTGATGTAGAGTGTTTCAAGCTCTGTTTTTGGCTGGGGAGTGTTTCCCTGCAGAACACAGAGACCTGAAGCCACTCCAGGTCTCTTTCCAAACAGCCCTCTCCTCTGGGTGGAGAGGGACAGCATCCCGAGTATGACCGGAGGCTGTGAGTTCGCCTGTGGCAGAAAAAGCCCTGCGGGGGCCCGAGGTCACAGCCTGCCCTGTCCACTGCCTGCCCTGTCCACTTCTCTAACACGAGCATTTCCAGCTGGCTGCAGTTGTTCCTTTTCCTGAATGAGAACATGTGTCTACAGATGCCGCTGCCTAATCACGGCTGGCTGTTGAGCCTGCTGGGCTGGTGTGCAGTACACACTTGTCTGCACTAAGTGGCCAGCTTCGCCTAGAAGCCAGGTTTCCCGTTAAACCAGTAAAGTGCCTGCTTGCTCCTTGGTAATTTAATACTTTGGACCAAAGTTAAATGAGTCATCACAGATTGTGCAGGCACTTTTTTTTTTAAAGAGCATTATTCGAATGACACATTCTTTAGGCGTTAAGATATATTTTTGATGTTTTTAGTCTAGAATTGTGTATTTTCCCCTTGTCATTCGTATCTCCGTGCTTTTTCTCCCTAGACTTCCTTAAGCTCCTCATCCCCTTACCCCAAGTAAGACCTAGAAATCAGACAAGAGATTCTTGGGCTTTGATAAAGAGTATTTCTAGATACCAGAAAAGTTCATGCAATACATTATAGCACATCCATATACTAACTAATATAAGATATAAAATCAGGATTTAATAGAAGACTCAAAACATAATTTCATCTTATTAAAAATATACATACCCTGAAATAAATGTTCACAGTGCCACCTCTATAAGACTGTCTTTTTTTCCCCTTAGCTGTGTTTTGCAAAATTTTTCCCAGTGACCATGTATTATGTAATATAACAAGATTTTTTGAAAGAAAATAAAACCCAGCCCTCCCTGGTGGTGCAGGGGCTTAAAGCACAGTCCTATGAAGCTATTGCAGCCACTGCAACATGAGTTTGATCCCCCACCAGGGAGCTGACCCACATGGCGCAGCAGACCTCTCCTGACCCACCCACTGCTCCCCTCAGCAGTGTATTTCAGTCAGTCTTCCTGTTCTGCGCCCCACTCTTTCTCAGGTGATCCTCTCCCGTGCCCCCCCCCCACCCCATGTACCTCTGGCCTGTATCCCAGTCCTCTATGTATAAATAAATAAATCCTAAAAAAAAAAAAAAACCCACCAATGGCTGCTATCATCAGGGTTTTATAAAAAAAAATTAATGTTTCCAAACTACTAGTATTACACAATTATAATTATCTAAAAAATGTGGCTTGATTATGGTCCCATATAAACATACAAAAGGACAATTAATATTCCCTGGATTTACTGAGAATAAAGACCGCAGTGGGCTGGTCCATCCCTTACATGCTGTATTTCCTCTGCATGCTGCAGTAAGTGCCATGTGACGGGGCACAGAGCTCAGTCTGGAGCAGCAGTGGGGTGCAGGTGCCCACAGGGGTCTGCTGGTCCCAGGGTCAGCATGGAGTTGTGCTTACCTGGGACACACAGGCCTCTCCTGGGGCCTGGAGCTGGCCAACAAGCAGGTAGGCGGTGAGTCCTGCCAGGATGGGGAGCAACACCAGGCAGCAGGTGAGAGCGCAGCACACGCTGGTCCTGGCTGTGGGCCAGACTCTGGGCTTGGGCCTGCGCCTGTGGCTGCCGTCCTCAGGCAACATTTCCATGCTGGCTGTTTCCCCAGAGCTCAGCCCCACATTCTCTGCCATACTCCTGCTGGTCCTGGGGATGGCTCTGGTGCTGGGCAGAGAGACCCCCCATTAAATAGAAGCCCAGCGCTCATAGTGGGTGAATCAGTCATTGCCTACTCCTCCCCCTAGTCGCTCCTTGCTCCCTCCACAACATGCTGCGCTCCACCCCAATAGGGAATGCACCGCCCACAACAGAAACCGAGTTTGGTTTAAGAAAAAAAAAAAAAAGAAGAAGAAGAAAGCTTTCCCAAGCATATTTATGTACAGTGTGCTCATGTGCTGCTTCCTTCGTTTACAGAAGGAAGTTAGGAAAGCCCCTGGAGGAGGAGAGAGTCCCTCAAGTCAGGGGGCAGGCACAGTAACGCATACCTGACGTGTACCTGCTCCTTGCAGGTTCCTTCCAGGCCGCCAGGTGTGCCAGTATGGGCAGTATGCTGCTTTTGGAAGTGAAAGTGAGGGATGGGGAGGTGTGTGTGTGGTTTGTAGATTGGGAAATGAAAATTGAAAGCATGCAAAATCTTGGGGAAACGTGTCATGGTTTGTGGGTCCTCACCCAAGTGCTTATAACTGCAAGGCACAACTCAGTCTCAGAGCAAGAGCAGCAATGGCTGGGTTTTTGCATGAAGGCAATTAGGGAAAGACAAAAGTTTCTAAGATTCCAAATGGCCAAAGACTGTGCCACAGTGTCCAGAAGTATAATCCAAAAGCTGCTTGTGCAAGATGGCGTTGTCCTTCTAAAGAGAGTCTAGGGTTGGTGACACAATGCTAAGTTGTAGACCAGGATCCAACTCCTGGTGGCAGTGGAGGTGGTCACGTGCGTTCTGCTGAGGCAGCAGCACAGCAGTCAGCAGCAGCAGTCGAAAGGCTCGGCTGTGCCTGGCTGTGCCAGGCTGTGCCAGTGCAGTACAGTACAGCAGGAGGCGTGCTGCTCTTGCCAGAGCCAGGAGCCGCATTAGCCAAGATCTGAAGGATGGGGAGCAGGGTAGCTCTCAACAGGTGTTTGGGCAGGGCAGGCTGTGTGGCCAGTGCTGGTCAGCAGGGGGCGATGTGCACAGCCAGGCAACAGGGTGGTACAACTTTTTTTTTTTAAAGATTTATTTATGTATGTACACAAGAGGTGGGGTATAGGCCAGAGATGGGGATGGGGAGGTAAAAGGTCCCAGAGACCCAGAGTAGGGAGCAGCACAGGCGGAGCTGCTGAAACACACTGCTGAGGGAGCAGCTGGCAAGACTGGAGAGGTCTGCTGCGCCTTGTGGGTCAGCTCCTGGATCAGGATTGAACTTGTGCTGCAGTGGTGGCGAATAGCTTCATAGTGCTGAGACTTTACACCTTGCACAATTCTTTAGCAATAGGCGCAGTCCAGAGCCAGACAGGTCTTTAGCAGCAGGGCGGGGGTGGGGAGGTGCTGTTTGAAGTGGAAATGGCAAGCAGGGGTCTTGGTGAATGAGAATGTCCGAAATCCCACTTACATCCCTTTAGGGGTGCACATCTTTCAAACCTGAATGAGCTATTTCAGAACTTGATCAGTGTTAGTGTGAGCTTAAACCTGATTGCTCTGTTTTTAAAGCCCTGCAAGTCTCAAAACCTGAATGGTGCCATCTTTGAACGTCAGTGGTGCCTTGTTTAAACCCCACCAGCATCTCCACTTTGACTTGTGTTCGACAGCAGTCTTACTCTGCGCGCTGCTGCTGAGGTGAAGAGGGAGTGGGAGGAGGGGCCGCAAGCAGGGAGGGCTGCAGCAGGGGCTGGAGATGCGCCTCTTACAAAATCGGGTTTACAGCACTGCCTTTCAGAGCACTGCCAGACCCTCTGGGAGCCTCCTGGGGTCTCATTCCCATGGCGCCAGTGCTGAGAGGTGAAAGCACTTGAGCCAGATCATCCAGGGACTAGGAGAGAGGAGTAGGATGATGATCTCGTTATAAATCATCTTTGGGGGCTCTTGCCTCTGTAGCACAGTCACCTTTGAGAGCAAAATATACTTCTAGTCCGAATTGAGAAATTGTCTGAGTAACAAATGTAATATAATGGCAGGTAACCGTCTGAGGTAGCAGGACATTGACTTCTGTCTGGCTAATTAAAAATAAATTGAGCACCACACGGCTTCTGCTACCTGATTAGCTAAAACTGCATTGAACACCCGTGATTGACTTTGCCCACAGCAGGGTGTGTATGGGAACCACACATGTAACAGAGGCCAACATTTATTACATACTTCCTTTGTTCTAAATCACTGTTTGAAGTGAGTTAACTCTCAGTGAACTTACTCCATCCTGAGGTAACCTTTTGCAGTAGTGGTGTTATTCCCACGTGACAGATAAGGACATTGAAGCATAGGAAGAAAGTGGTAAGACCAGACCTGGGAGGCAGGCGGGCTGTCGCCGCAGCCTCCGCAGCACCACGCTGTGCTTATGTGGCCTTTCCTCATTTCCTCATGTTGGGGCCTAATGCTTGAAGTGCCCCCCCCAGCCCCCGCTTTGTGTATCTTTCTCCTCCCACCTGAATTCTTTGTGCATTTTCTTCTTCAAGGTCACTGAGTCAATGTCCCACTCTGTTCTGCTTCCACAGCTTTTCCCTGAGTCTTTTATGTCCTGATCAATCTTTTTACTTCCTGCATCTCAGTTGTTTTCCTACATAAAACTTATTTGTCTTTATTTATCTATGTCTTTATTCATTCATTTATTCATTTAGTTACTTAATTTTTGCATGTAGAAGTCAATGCCCTGCTGTCTGGGGTGTAGGCCAAAGCTGTGGGTGAGGGTGGGGGAAAATAGGATTCACCAGAGACAGAGTGGGGAGCAGAACAGGCAGATCAACAAAGTATACTGCCACTAGAACATGGAGATCTTTTCTTCCTAATAGATAGAATTCAAAAATGCCATGATAAAGAAATTCAAAGAAGTGGAAGAAAAATGCAGAAAATCTGACAAAGAATATACAAGAAACTAATGTCTGAGAAATAAAATTAATAAACAGAAGGTATATTACTATTAAATTTAAATACTAATATTGATAATAACCATTCAATAATCATTAAATTATTAATTATTAAACTTCACTGTTTAGTTCGAGCCTGAGGGGAAGGAACCGCACTGTCTGTCGTCTTCCCTGGAGGCTGTAACCCGGCCCCTCCAGCACTTCTGCATGGAGCCCTTCAGTCAGGCACACACTAAGCAGCACTGCCCCTCCACACCACGAGTCATGGGAGCGTGGAGTAGGTTTGAGCTGCAGTGTTGGCCTCAGTTGCTGTCTCCAGGTGCTGACAGCAGTGCCACCACTTTCGGTCGTGAGTTGACTTTCTGCAGCGGCTCTTCTGTTGCATATGGGGTTGGTCTCTGATGAACAGGAGGTGCTTGAGTCTTGCCCTGAGTCATAAGATTTGAGTTCAGTGCCCCTCTGGATTACCTTAGATCATTCTTCTGGGAGAAAATCAGGGAACCTCCTCCGATGTCATCTTCCTCCTCGTCCCCCTAACCTAAATCCTTTTTTATTTTAAAGATTTATTTATGCATAAAAGAACTGGGATGTAGGCCAGAGGTACAGAGATTAAGAGGACTCACCAGAGACAGAGTGGGGAGAAGAACAGGCAGATCTGCTGAAGTACATTGCTGAGGGGAGCAGTGGGCGGGTCAGGAGAGGTCTGCTGTGGGTCTTCCCCAATTGGGGATTGAACTCCGGCCACAGTGTCTGTCAATAGCTTGATGGTGCTGAGACTTCAACCCCTGCGTCACCAGGGAGGCCTCCCCTAACTTAATCTTCACTAATGCATAGTTCAAACATATGACCACAATAGGCAGGTATCTTGAACATATTTACAAATGTGTTCTTAGGCTTGTAAGGTAGCAAGTCCTTGCATAGCAGAATAGCATTGGTTTTGTTACAACATCAATGAGAAACAGCAGTTGCAGTGGATATTGAGCAATATGGTGTTATTTGAGGCCCTGGTTTCATCATACATCATAGTTGTGCATTTAAGCTGGATGTTAGACAGTTGGTAGAGATGACACGAGGAAGAGGTAGACAGGTAGGAGACTTGGGTGGAGATACTCATTTGACAGTCAAGCTTGACACAGCACTGATAGTGCTCCAGACGTGCCAAAATGAGGTCTTCTCCTTTGATGACAGGTTCTCAAGTTTAGTCAAAAGAACTGGGGTCAGGTTTAAGTAAAGTGTTAAGTTGAACCATATGAAATTACCAGTGTCTGACAGTTTTAAAATAATTATGTCTATTGGGCTAGTGTGATTTACAACACTGTAGATGTCTTAGGTGTTTTGATATCTGACCTACAAAAATTATTACTTATATTTTCATACTGTTCACCTGAATAATGAGCTTGCTGCAGTCTGGGACAGCACCTTGTAACCAAACCCAGAAATATTTCTGCAGCCCAACAGACTCAAACAAAGTGTAGTAGATAAGAACTGCACAATGCGCTTTCAGATCAGCTTTTGCTACCAAATTTGTCTTAACAGCTTTCAGATTTTTAGAGCTTTTTGTGTTTTGGATGATGGACTTGTGTTATTATTGTTACTATCTTTTTACCATTCTGTGTGGCCTCCAGAGGTTTGAGCTGGGCTCATGAGTGGAAGTTACTGAGAGGAGTCCTTCGGCTCAGTTAGAAGAGTGCGTCATTCATTACTCCGTAATGACAAATCCTCTGTTCCCAGAGTCAGTACTGCACACCAATGCCCATTTAGTGAGGCTGTTTTAGAAAGAACTCAGTTATTAAAGAGATGATGTGAATTGCTGCCTTTTATGCCTCATGAGCTCAGAGGCGGGAATTTTAAGTCTTTTTACTCTCATAATTCACACTCTCCACATGTAAAGTGGGAGCCAGGACTCCCATTGCTGAGGTGCTCCGGCTTTAGGTCACCTGGAGCGCTCTGCTGCTTGTCTCTGCCTTCTCCTCTTAGCCATCCGGTGGTTATCCCGACCCACAGCTATCGCCCTTGGGCATTGAGGAGCCTTTTCTTCACATGGTGCATAGGATTTCCCCATGATAGGGTGAGCAGTTTGCTCGGGCAACTGGGATCAGGAGTGAGCTATTTCCTTGCTGCTTCCCAAATGGGGAAAAATGGTTATTTCTCAGTAATTTCTTTTTGATTTGCAAACATGTGTTGACTTGTGCAGTATC